TTGCAGTTTTGTCATGTTTTGTCTAAGGATGAGAAGAACAAGAGAAATGAACAGAAGGGGCCAGGCCTTATTAAATGGATTCACATGGGCCCCAACTGTAGATTGTCAGGGGGTGGCGTGATTTCCATTGGTAACCAAGATCTCTTTGGTGTTTTAACCTCAGCAAAACATCGATCTGATCAAACCAAGGTGCTCGGCTTCGTCCGCGTGTGCCCTCGACCCAGGTTCCGATCCACCTTGGCGGGGATGGCCACTTGATGGTTGGAGATGGAGGTCGATGGCTAATTATAGCAGCTTTAAGAGGACGACAGACACAGACTGAATCTGAACACGGTTTGGGAACGTTTTCCATCGATGTTTGATGTTTGTTTTCAGCTTTGATCCGGAAGCCGAGTTTGCCTCACCAACCCTAGGGCCTAGGGAGACTCCGATGCCGATGCCTGGGTGGTGAAAGAGTGAAAAACGGCATTTTGAGGCATTTTGATCATTGTAATTATCATTAATCATCCATCAGGTCCACGCTATGATGCTTTTGGCTTTTCGGTTGAAACAGCTGGACTTAGTGCGACAACGTGATAATGCACATTGGACAATGGTACAAGGGCTGTGTGCCTCCATGGTTACATGTCAAGTTGTTTCATGTTCAATTCCGAATTGCCGCGGGTGGTGGTTTTTGTCGAAAGCGCAAGGGCTGCACGAGTGCTTTTTGGGCTTCCAAGGCGATGGACAGTCCCACAGATGCCAGGATCCTAACTGAAGACCAGTTTCACAAGGTCGTGTGCGCGACCGGGACCGAGTGTTGCGGCAGCGTCAAAGAAGCAAGATCAGGTCTGGCATCATTTAGCCCTGATCAAAACCTAGCAAGTTTTGCTGCACAAGCACTACCGGGGTTGTGGGCCGTTTGATGGTTGGCTTCCCCTGATTCGGTGTGAAACATTCCAGGGCTTCTCCATCTGAAAAGATACTGATTGCTGATATTCCTGAACAGAGGTCACAGGACTATGTAATTAGATGTAATTAGTATAGATGAAGACCCTGTGGTTTTATCTGAGACAGATTCTGATCATCTCTTTCTTTTCCCACTCCTTCCACGGCGCACTGCTCGGCTCACCTTCTTCACTGGAAGCCTTTCTGCTTCCCTTGACTTCCCTCGAATTCCTTCGACTTGGAACCAGGGGACCCAAACCGGGACCGAGAAAGCGCAGGCGGTGACAATTCGCTTCAATGAGGTGGATGCCTTCCAGGCGCTTCATGGCGCTTAAGCTACCAGGTGGAGGCCATCGCTATTAAGTTGGAGGCCATCCCTACTATAGTAGCAAGGGTGCTATTAGGAAAAAGAAGCTGCGAGTGGCTCCTGGCATCGCTACTATGATTGAACCGTCGCTCCGCTCCGCTCGCTCCGCGTCGGCCATTTTTCTTCCGCATTGATCGATTCAGCGCAGACGGAAGTTGGACGCCCGGGAAAGATCCGGAGTGATGTGTTCGCGAAAAAGTATGTTTGTGAAGGAGGTGGAATGGCCGGGCATGACACGATCCGTCAGGATTCAAGGATCAGATTCCTGGAGTGACACTTTGTAAACCCATGGCTATTTGAATTATATAGCTCTCTCATTTTGACACAAGCCCGGCTGGATCCTCTTAAACATGGTACGTTGGGTGTGGCTCGCAACACCCACCCCAAATCCGCAGAGCATCCGTTGGTCGACTGTTGCTTGCATTTTCAGTTTTTGTGTCAACTGTACCCAAGGTAGGTGGGTGGGTGGGTGGGTGGGTAGGTAAATAGGTAGGTCGCTAGCTAGGTGGGTAGGTTGCTGCTCCTTACATTGCGCAACCTGTCAAGTTGGTTTGCAAGATGAGCACTTTGGTCTGTCACGTGTTTTGAAAGTCTGAAGGATACATGACATGCGGAGCTTAACAGTCACTTTGCTAATTGCTATCAATCTTCTGGGAAACTCCTCTTGGGTGATACATAGTGATACCAATTGAGAGTTTGTTATATATATAGTAGTTCTTTAGCAAGGTTGGGCCGGGCAACATGTACTGTATTATAAGATTCTCTCTTCGGGTTCATTCTTCAGTCCACTCAGATCAAGTTCGGCACAGGTAAGCCTGGGCGCGGGGGCCTTAAGATTTGTGAGAAGGAGTGACTGAAGAAGTGCAAGGCGTAAGGTGGTCGATTTTGGTGTGTTGAAGTGTTATGTAGTCAGTTGTCGCGTTGAAGGTGGAGCAGAACACTTCAGAGAGCCTCTCAATAGCTCGATGCATTTTTCCACAAACTTTTTGGAGAGCTGACTCTGCAAAAGATGAATGACTGTCCCATCTCCTAGAAGAGGCTTAGCACTTCTGCGTTCATATCCCTACTCACCATCCACATGAACGACTAAAGCATGGGGATGGGATGTTCAATGTTCAGGGGGATTCAGGGGCATTCAGTTGCTCCACAGCCACATCCACCGCCGCTTCCGCCACAAAAGTAAAGATTCCACACAGTTGATGGCTTTCAGTTATTTGGTGCGTGGGTCTCTTTGTCTGTTGGTATGTAGGATCTATATATACATCATAGGATCTGTATATAAATGAATAGGATCATATAGAATCTATTTATTTCTATTTATAAATGGCCCAGGGTCTATTGATAGATCCTGCATCCAACAGACAAAGAGCAGCGAAGAGGAGGACTCTGCATTCCCATTCAAGGAGACAGCATTGGCTGGCTCCAGGCTATGAAACTCATATATATATATAATATATATATGTATATATATATATATATTATTGTTATTATTAGTATCTTTATTATTGCTATTATCATTACTATTATATATGTATATATTTGTTGAGTCTTTGAGTTTCCCAAGGTGGCCTCTTGAGGTGTCGCACAAATATGTCTATGATTGTCTCTATATATGTCTTATGTGTGCATGGGATCTCAAACCTTTGGATGATTGAATATTGATCGCCCAGTGATCATTGCACCTTTTGCATTCAGTAGGATTTATGGCACACGTCCCTTGTCACGAAGCACCTTGTCATGTGGCACGGCTGTTGGAGGGTCCCAGGGTCCCGTTCTCTATGAAAGCCTCGGGGTCCCTGAAGATCGGACACCGACACCGAATCGCCGAAGCTCAAACAGTTCCTGGAAGTTGAACCGAAGCGAAAACCAAAAGCAACAGCAAATCCTTCACTGTTGGACAGCTTGACATTCCTTTGTCCTTTCCCGTTCCACCAAGGTCTGACCCGTCTACAGGTGGTCTACCCCCTCCAACCCTCATGAGTTGGCCTTTACCTCGACTGCCATGTCGAGGTACTAAGCACTGGGGCGCATCACCGGTTTTTCGAATTCTTAGGCCAGGCACTCCGCGCCCGCGCGCGCCTACACACGGAAAAACGTGCTGTTATGGCGTTTCAGGCATGGGGAGCTTCCACCGGTTCGTTTGAGGTATGATGAATGATGATTTGATGTTTTTGAGGCCACTGATTGCTGCAAGCCGATGGTCAAAAGGGCCAATTCTGAAACTTGTGAAGCCGATCAAACTCGGGAAAATCTGGACTGACAATGTAATTTGTCCCTGTGTCCTTCTGATTGCTGGATGTCGCCATACTTCAGTTGCCCGAAAACCAGTGAAGCCAAGCTTGTGATTTCAAGTTCATCATCCTCTGGGCAGGACACCCACGACCCAGTGCTTCATTGGGGAATTACTAAGCCACTAAGCCATTGCTCGCCCAGTGCCGTGCTTCCACCGCTTACAGCTTTTGGGCTGTGCGCGAAGCGTCACAGACGTCGGCAGCCTCGCCGATGGCTAGGCGAAGCCTCCCTGTTGTGCGCACACCTGCCCGAGGGCGGGCCAGCACCCGTGGGAAAAGCTTATTGGAATCCCCGCAAGCATGCAACATGGCGGCCGAAGCAAAGCGGTTTTGAATGCAGTGTGTGGCGATCAAACAAAAGGCAGAAGAGTCACATATGATGTCGGAAAGATTGGAAAGGCTATTTACTTGTTGAGAGTGCCATGTCATTGCAGGATCGTTCCATCACAGCTGTGCTGGGCGCACCTACGGGTGCTGAAGCCATCATCAAATCATCGTTGATATTTCTAGGTCGGGGGGCACTCAGAGTCATGTGCAAAGATACCGACGGTTTTCCCTGTGTAGTGACCCCAAAATAGATCGAACAATTAAGACATGTGAATCCCTCCAAAACAGTCTCTATTATACTTGGGGTTTACTGACTAAGCTTTAGGGTAAACACATGCGGTGAACGAGTGTGTGAGTAAACATGTCATAATTATATATATATGTAGATGACATTAGGTATACCTTGTGTTCCATCAGTTTTCCATTCATTTCCCCAGACGGATTCAGCAAGTTTGAGTTATTTGTTTTGTCCTCATCGTGTGGACCCTGCATCGTGCGTTGCTCCCCTCGGCCCAGGCACCACCTGGGCTGATCCCCAAGAGGCCCTTCGAGGCCCTTCGAGCGGTCAGTTGAGTGGTTGCGGGGTCGGCGTTGAATGAAGCCGTGGATTTGTGTGGAAGCTGGATGAAGTTGGTTGGGTTGGATGTGATTGGAGGGACTTACTTTGGTTCTGCGTTCGAAGAACTAAAGTCCTGAAAGAAAGCATTCACAGCATGGGAGAGTCAGCTAGGAGCCTGGCAAAGATAATAGTTCAGCACCATATTGCAACAGTCTTGGCACAGATGTTTTGCCCAAGTGGCCCATGCAATGCATGTTTGACAAGTGGTTCCCAGCGTGTGTTGGTACGATTTAGTGTAAAATGGTCAACAAGGTATTTCAATAACTTCAGTTACTTTGTGCCTCTTGCCAGGGATATATTGTGCCTTAGAACCCATGTCGTCTTTCTCCACACTCATCACATGACATCACCTACGACATGCTCCGCCGACATCCTGCACAGACGGTGGCTTTGACCCATGAGCAGTGGGTCTTTGAGGGCTGGGAGGCAAGAGATGGACCATCAGACATGGCTGACACTTTGTTGGTTTCTGTTTGATGGCTATCTATCTCGGAGAAACTCTGCGAGACAGATGGCCATCAGAAGCCTCAGCCCAGCTCCCTGCCTGCTGGAGCAGGACAGTCGGTGTTTGATTTGTGATGTGCATGCATTTCATGTTTGATTTGGGTCAGTGGCAGTGTTGAAGATACTAGTACGAAACAGTTTTCTTGTGGCTTTGTAATGCTTGGGTGTGTCAATGGACTTCCACGCTGTTTTGTTTGGCTTCTGTAGTTTACACCTAGCGGCCTAGCGGTGCCGACTGACCGGACCAGGTGAAGGAGGAGGACCCGGTGGTGATTGGCGATGCCGTTCTGCACGGGAAGCATGTGGTAGGCCGCTTGGCGTTTGCTGAACAACAAGGCTCTATGGCTCTTTTGATTCGTATTGCGGCAGGTGGGTTGCTGCATTGCTTGTTGGTTGAGTTTCATTCAGGGTCCTGATGAGATCTTATTCGTGCGGATTTGTATTGTACTGTACATCCATGAGTAGACCCGGACATACCCATTGCGGCACTAGAACACCCATCGAACCCACAGAAAACTTCTGGGTCAAGTCAACCCCTAAAGAACCAACAAAACATATCAACAAAATGAAGCCCACGAACCCGAATGCACACACGTATGCAAACACAAACGCCAAACGTTGTTGGACACTCTTGCTATCTCTGGCTTAACACTCTTCAAAGCACTTCAAAGACACTCTTCAAGAACATTCTGGGGTGACACTAATCTCGGACACGCTTTCGCCACACTTTTGTAGAGACTCTTGTGTCACACATCTGACACGCACCTGTGCAACACTCTTGCTGAACACTCTCTGGTGAGACACTCCTCCAGGACACTCTTGTTGCACACTCTTGCTGGACATTGCTTAAATGTATGACACCTTTGGAGGACGCTCTTGTTGCACACCCTTGCTGGACCTAGCTTTAATGTATAACATCTTTGGAAGACGCTCTTGTAGCGCACTCCAATAGGAAACTCCTGTAAGATAGTGTTTCTGGGCGCTCTTGGCGCAACACCTTTGGAGGACACTGTTTTCAAAACGAGCATGTCGTACGAGACTTCCTCGAGAAGTGACGCGTCGAGTCCTCAAAATGAGCATTTCGTTCCACACCTCCTGCAGAGTGACGCGCACATGACACGAAAAAGGTTAAACATGTGCATTTCGTGTGAGGTCACACGTCAAGTCTCCCAAACTTTGGTTTCTGCCCCATTATTGTGAATCGAACCAGGATCCCTCTCCAGTTCAAGTTTGCAAGGAATCATCACCCAGATGAATCAGGTCACCCGAGCAGCTGAATTGAATTTATCTAGATTTCCTCAAAAAGTGAAGCAGGAAGTCTCATCAGAGCAAACACATCACGCAGCCCTGCCAAGCAGTTCTGCAACCAAACAGCCTCCCAGTACCTCCAATACACACAAAGCAATGCGCCTGCCAGGAAAAGTGACTTGGCCACACCTAGATCAATAGCAATTCTCACCGCACCAGACATTAGGAATGATGACACGTTGCTGCTTCACCCAGATGCCTGAAAACCACAATTTTACTTGAGACTTGTCAGGAAGGAGCAGCTTCGAGGCAAGCACTTCGACTTCAAGAGCAAATCCCAAGCGACATTCAACACATCCAAAAGACCACCCTGCGAACGCCAATCCCAATAGCAGGCGAGGCAAAGTGCTGACCTCGCAAGACACTGAACCTGGGCGGCTAAATCATCGGTCCTGCACACTTAGAGCATTTAAGGATATTTTAGGCTTCTCATGGCTTCGGTAATAATATGATTGTCTATATAATATTGTCTACTATGTTATTCTACATGAACCTGATACTTTGTGCTTCCATCCAAGACCTTCAAAAGCTTCTCGCAACGGAAGGGCTTGACGGTTGCGAACATGAAAGCAAAGTCGTTCAAACAAGGCTCTATACCCCCAGACCCCCAGAGTTACTGTAAACGACAATCCTTCATTACGCATTCGGGACAAACAGAAACAACAACCCATGATCAATATGAATCACTTCATGAATCTAAAACCAGACGGTCCGACCGACGCATCTACCACACCTGGTGACCACCCGGTCTACCCGGACGCCACCGGGTCCAAGACGCTGACCGAGGTGCAGACGAGCTGCGGCACGACCAGACGCTGCGCTGCACGGCCAAGGGCACGGTGCGCAAGGTGCTCCCGAGCCTCGGTCGGGACACGCGGTGACGTGGCGGTTGGAAGATCGGAGAGACGCGTGTTTGGGAAAAAAGGACGCAAACGAAAAGACTGGAATGATTCAGAATGATCCGAAAGTGTGGACATATCAGAGTATATAGAGGTCGCGTCGACAATCAACATCAATCAACCATGGATAGTTTAAGTCATGAAAGCACGGGTGTTTCAGGATTTGATTCTAAGGTCGGGAGAGGTTGACGGTATTTGCACGGTTTTACCTTGACTGTCCACGACGGTGTCCACTTGGTAGTGATGCATGGATTGTTTTTGATAGACCCGTGGACCCTTTGCGGCAAGTACTTAGAAAGGTGATTGGAATCCAAAGCAAACACTCCCCTAACGGTTATAGTGAGCCCAAGCAGTTAACCACTCAGAACTTCCCAGTTGTAATGACTGGTGGGTTTGTGAAGATCCTGCAATTTGGTTTGTAGATCACATCCATATTACGACTGATGGAGAGGAAGTGGCATCAGGTGGCAGTTGATATCCTCCTTGATTCGGTTGATTGGTGTAGGATTTTGTCCGCCAACACTGATGAGAGCCTATACTGATTCGCATTGATCCTCAAACAATCACTACGAGCAGTGTATGTGTCTTTATTACTCTACCAAAGGTGTGTCAGGTAGGTACTGGAAAGAATCCGACTGCAGCACACTTGTGGGTGATTCTGATGGTTGATGATTTTGCTTTGATTGAATCACGTGATTTGTTGGATCAGATTCAGTTCTTTCTTTCTAGAGCTAGATGATTGCTGGCTGCTTTTGTGCGACATCTCCGTGCATTGTGTTAACAGATTTGGATATAAAATGATATACTGTAAATCAGTGCACATCCCAGTCGAAGCGGTTTTCAGGGATAAGTTCTGGGATTCTTTTGCCGTTACAACAATGTGTTCAGCGCCAGATTGGGGGAAAATGGTACCACACGGCACCACGGATATTTGTCATTTGTTCACCCATGTTTGGTACTTTTGAACCTTGCCCCTCTCCTCTTCTTCTCTGCCAAGGAATGTGGACGTTGGGGAAACCTTGCTGCCTGATCTGGGAGTGGCCATCATTGCGTTTCCCATTGTGAGACCACCGGGGTTGGTGGAGAGGCCTCAGAAATATGCATCTTGGCTGCAGTTGCGAAGTGCTCCAGAAAGTTTGGGGGTGCTGGTACTGCTCAGCGGCGTTTGTTTGGTAAAACGCCACGATGACAGGCTAGCCTGCGTCTGCGTTGTATTGTTTCGAGATGTTTCGAGCGATTGCCTTGCGGTATACTGCAGCATACTTCTGATTGGAGACACAAAAGTTAGATAACAGTCTTTTCCAAAAGGGATAGGGATGACGACCCTGGCAAGCCCTGTGAAAAGTGCTAAGACTGTAACGATCCTTTGAGACTGGAGAAGATTCGATCCAGTTTGGGTGTGAAGTTGGAAACGCTCGCAACGCCCAGGACTTTTTTGTGGTCACAGAGCGCACATACCGATTCAATCTTTTCCAGGCTTTGCCGCCGAGTGTGGTCGAAAGGGAACGAACACATATCCGAAAGAGGGGCAGATCTGAGCAGATTCTTTTTTGAACAATGGCGGTTTTGGATCGGTGAAACATGGTGAAACTGTAGACAAGCCAACAAAATCTGGGCTTATGTTACGTTGAGTAGCTGGGCGGCCATTTGATGTTGCCTAGGTAGGATCTGAGGATGTATAATTGAATCTCCCAAGCCAGAGCCAGAATAGGGTCACTGAGTGAGATTCGCTTTGAGTTGTGTATCTCTTTTACTTTCTACCTCATTGAGTAGTGTGTTTATTCCAAAACATTGATATGTTCAGAAGCCCAGCCCAGCATCCCATCCCACTCTCGCTCCCGCTCAGAGTCGCTCAGAGTCGCCGGCATCTCCGCAGGTTCACCCGGGTGAGCACGTGGTGATGGGCCAGGCGCTCTTCGATGGAAAGCCGGTGATAGGAGCGCCGGGGACTACGCGTTCGCGTTCGCGTTTGGCGCGTCGTTTGGAAGGAGGAGGCGCAGAAGTGCCCTGTTTTGGACATTGGTGAAGCTATGTTAACCTGTGCTTTTTGGTGCCTGGTGACAGAAGATACGACATATGGAGCATACGTTCAGATGCTGAAGAAGCACACAGTTCTATTGCCAACAGCCATGTTAGCGGCATGGCCAATCTGCCATGATTTGCCATGTCACAGCCAGTTGAGCTTCGCAGGAGAAGAATTGGGCGAGTCAGTGAGCATCAAGGCCAATAGTTCTGGACATGTGGAGATGGTCCTCGAGTGCCTTGACTGCCTTGTGCACTAAACAGCTGACACACTGACAGAGCCTGCTCGCAAAGGTTTTGAGCATGATGGTTGGGGTGGTACCTAGGTGCTTTGTATCTATGTGATATAAGCATCAAGAACGTTTGGCTGACATTATCGGCTGACAATTACTGTAATCTTCAGATAGACGATATCAACGACTATATATATACATAAGTTACATAAGTAATTGCACTCATGTGTAACTATATATATATAGTACGGTTTTGCTTCAACTTTTAAATGTTTTACCAGCAGTATGTTCGTTACAATGGTGGTGTACATATCCAATTCCATGGACATTCTGCCGCTGGTGCTTTGTTTGGTCTGGTTGAGATGAGCCCACACAATCGCTCCATGTCGGAAGGAGGATCTTGAAGAGCTTCCTCAAACACTTATTCAAGTCTGTTGGACACACTTACAGAAGCGGCCATGCCAGAAACTACTGGGGCATTGGTCAGGGTGGCATTAACATGGTGATAGAATCTGTCACACTCTCAGACATGCTGGAGAAGAAAAGACAGCAGACACATTAAACTGTTGACCATTAGACATGTACATAATCATTAGATCCGGAATCCATCTCACCACATCTCTTCTGATCGCACAGGACGTTGCATCCCAACTACTTCGTCCTAAAGGATGTGGCGGTGATGCTGATTCGGCCCAAGGTCCTTTGGCCTCCTGGGATACAGGCTGAAAGCCCTCAGGACCTCGCGACCCGAACTCGCAGCTTTCTGCTTTGCACCGTGCCCCCGCGCCCAGCGCGCCTGTACTGTGCGTGCGAGGTCATCGCGCACGACCTCGCGCCGTCTCCGGCGCGACGGACGTCAATGTCGCAGGATCACATCCTCACAACGGATCGCGTCTTGGTTTTCTTGGAATGGAAGGCAGGCGGGTCGGATGTACCGGCACGGCTCGTGCGAAAAGTGACTCCCCTTTTGGAGGTGAGGTTCGCTTTTGGAGCACAATATCAAGCCTGAGTCGTATTACAGGGCTGATGTATGGAAGGATAGCTACTGTAGTTTGGGACTCTTCAAGAGTAATCGAGAGGATGCAAATATATGTGAAATTCCGAAACTATACGAAGATGATGATCATGATTTGATGGAAGTGTTCATTCATGATTCATGATATTTTGTACTACTGGATTGTTGGCTTAAGTAAGAACATGATTATATAAATAATGACAGATAAATACCCCGATACAACCACCAATAAACACATTAGCAGTGTAAGCAAGCTATGTATATTGTAAGATTGATTTGTCATTGTAGCATATATAGTCAATTGCAATAGAATATTGCCTAAAAGACATGTTGTTTGTCCGTTTATTTTGCTATTGTAGTTTATGTTCTTCATGACACATGCGCGGAGGTAGACTTGCATCAGTGACAGGGGAGAGAGCTAGTTGTTTGAGACCTCGCATGTTAATTGAAGTAGAACGGACATATGACAATTAAAAAGCGTCTCAGTGTGCTAGAGGAGCTCCCGATTTTGTGCACACGCTTTCCCTATTTGACAAGTATGCCTTCCATGAGCCCAATTTTACTGGACGTGGCCACACATGAACCAGTTCTTCATAAAAGACCCGCTTGAAAGCGCGTCGGGATGGCTATCGATGCATTGGAGGCTCACATTGACGATGAAGTGAGTCCGGGCGACCCTCTCATGCTCGCGCAAGACTGGGGATTTTTGGTTGCACTTGGTGGGATGGAGAGAATTTTTGTAACCCTAATTGCTAATGGCAAGGATCTTGGCAGGCGTTGATCTTCTACAGCTCTCTTTCGGAACACCTTGCTTGGATAAGGGCCTTTCAATGAAATCATGTTGGAAAACGGACCTGGCGGCCTAGCCGGTTTGATGATAGAGATTGGATAAGTTCTCTCATTGGCCAGTTGAAGTCCACTCTACCGGCTACCATTTGTTTGGGTGCCAAAAGTCGGTGCTAAGGAGTTTATACAAAATGGCAACACTAGTTTTGTGATGATAGATTTTATAATTCTAGTTTAAAAGCAAATTATGAAGCGGCACGCACGAGAATACTCTAAAACACAAGCTAGGCGCTAGCGTGGCGCTTGTGGCGCGCCAGTGCTTTTTTGCTAAAAGCCAGTTGCTTGGACCACATGTTTAATCTGTGATGTGCAGTTTCATAGGGCTAGCAGGAGCAAGGACACAACTTCAAATGGTTGGCATGTCGCACTAGCAGTCCCCTGTTCCTTCTCTACGTACCAATTACTTCCCTCAGTGCAAGAAAGAGGTTTCTGTTGCACGAATACCGAGACGACCGAGGTTTCAATGTCCTCAGTTGTTCGAACTGCCAAGGTTCTGGAAAGCCACACGTGCTCCATGCCTCTGTGAAAGGCCTTCTCAGCCACCCAAGGCCGCTTCTTCGACACGTGGCCGCCGGTGGTTTGTACGTAGTTGTACCGACATCTCCCGACGGTCTCATTCTGTTTGTGGGTCCCTGGTTTCAGACTCCACCAACTAGAGGTGCTGTTTGCATTGACGTGTGAGCTGATGAGTTGCTGTGAGCTGATGTCGTTTTGCAAGTTTGCAAGTGTTTGCTGCCTCTTCCCCGTTGCCCTGCTTGGGTCATGTTTCGGGCTGGAGGATGGCCATTATGACATAATATGTGAGGATGGAGATTCGGAGATAGATGGAGACTTGGTGATGTCACTAAGTTCAAGACCAAGTATGCTCCATTATGCTCGCCAATTTGGATGATGAGAGGGGTATCCTTGAGCACTTGCTCGAGTGGGTGGGGAACTCACTTTAAGGACCAGTCCACCAGCAATATGTATGAGCTTCAACAGGATTACGACTTGAGCTTTCAAGCATTCAAGTACCACAACTTTCTCAGCCATGACTGGAAAACTTCGAGATGACTGCCGACTGGGTGTTGCAAACAATGTTTTCGCTACTGTACGTATTTGCGAACAAGCGTTGACCCATATTTCTGGGACGTCTTCCAACCACCAACCCGTCGAGGTGCTTGGATTTGGCTTGCTTAGATTTGCTTCTGTATTCTTTAGGACATCGCTGGACAAACCATCACTATCCAACCAGCAGGGCCACTTTAGCCGGCAGGATCATACTGTTGTATATCAGCGCAACTGGCGCCTTCTTTCATAACGCATCAGGAGCAAGTCATATTTGTTCAGAGATTGCTAGAAGTAGGAAGACCGGAGCCACAAATATCACAAATGGTCATTAATATGATGCTTTTCCACATGTTTGCTTCATTATACCAACCTTGCGATGCCCAGTAGTTGCGGCCGTTCGCCCACTTCATGTTCCATCAGTGTGGTGTGTATGTGTGTGTGGTTCAGTGTCTATCTCTATCACCACCCAAACCGCTACCGGTTGCACGTCACCGGCGATCGCCTGCTGCGAGGTTTATGGAGAAGGGTCAGATCATCGAAATGGGTGTGGGAGTCGCGAGGATCACTGTGGAGGCGAGAGACATCGAAATCTCACGGTGATGTGAAAACCACATGGGGGGAACCTGAAACGAACGGCCACCGCATAGTGCTGCGATGCCGAAGGAGATTACAAAATGGAGTTTGCAAAAAAAGCCGACTTATTTTCAGACGAGTCCGTTTACCTATAGTTGTTTTGGATTGTTTTGGTTCAATCACCACCTAAACACTTAAGGAAGGTCAAGTTGCAGAATGTCGCTGGGCGCCGACACTCGTCCACTTTGCTCTTGCATTTCGTCGGATAACATGGCGGCAATCAGACTTATCATGGCATCCGGCCTCATTTAGATGTGGAGCAACTCCTACAATTTCCCAGCTATTCTGCGCGCTTTTGGTGTGGGTTTCTGACCCCTCATACACTACAGGGATGGGTTCTTTTGATTGCCAATGAGCTAAGCCGGTCCAGGTGATTTTCGACAAGTACTGATGGTATCATCATGCAACGTGTTGCGGGCAAGATGACGATCATTTTGGCGCATTTTCCAGCAGACGTTCAATGACATAGCAAGATAGTTTGACCGTTTGATGTCCAAATGCATGACATAGCAGGCAGCTTGTCCCCCCGTTCCACATACCATCTGACATGTGGTACCCCTTTTTGGGGTAAGCATGTTTGTGTGGGTGCCAGTCGATTGAGGGACCGCACCGGTTCAGTGTGACAGGTGACCACAACTTCTTACAATGCCAGTGCAGCGCAGATTCAGGGAAGCGAGGACTGGTTTTCGTTCCGGGGGCTATCATGCAGTCTTTGTTCCGGGGGCTCTCATGCCATAGGTAAAACTTGTATAGAGTCTGAGTTGGAGGGTGAGAATTTGCGCTGGGAACTCCTAACAATTGCCATGCATGCTCTTCGAATCTCTAGAGTTATATACTTGAAGTGCTCAAGGGTTATTTCTTGCACTTTGCTGCTATGTATAGACTTGGGGATGACTCACAGTGAGTAGTTTGGGTGTTTTGCTTACTGTATTTCTGCTGTCCCTGCTTATACCCTTAATTGCACAAGCAGTAGTTAGTGGTACCCAAAGAGATCACACAGCGAATCCAACATTCGTAGCTGTTCTATCCATTTATATCCATATTTATATAGTCAATTTTAAACTATTTGATCCACTCATGCCCGCTATACCCTGGCTTTGAGGACTCCTTCAACCCTTTTCTTTGGCTCTCCATCGGTGCCGGTGTCGTCATAGGGACACTTGGACAGCCAAGATGCATACAGTGAGATACCCGTAGCTTCTTGCTACTAGTAGCGATGCACCTTGTTACTAGTAGCTATTTGGCTATTTGTTACTAGTAGTAGTAGTAGTAGTCGTAGTGGTAGTGGTAGTGGTAGTCGTAGTCGTAGTCGTAGTAGTAGAGTGGTAGAGGTAGTGGTAGTGGTAGTGGTAGAAGTAGTGGTAGTCGTAGTCGTAGTCGTAGTCGTAGTCGTCGTAGTCGTCGTAGTGGTAGTGGTAGTGGTAGT